TCTCTCTCTCTCTCTCTCTCTCTCTCTCTCTCTCTCTCTCTCTCTCTCTCTCTCTCTCTCTCTCTCTCTCTCTCTCTCTCTCATGACCTGACCTGTTCACTAACAGTTACATGTGTGTACCATTCAGCCACATGGGGCTGTTGTGTTTTTTTCTCTTTTTTTTCTGGTACTGAAAAAAAAATCCTATGCTGTGGTGATGCATGCATGTAATCACACAGTAACAATAGTATGTGGTCATTGTACTGACTGCAGGTGGGGACCACAGTGACTCAGCAGTTCACTCTGCGGAACGACACGATTGTGCCGGTGCACTGGAGTCTGCATTTTGTTGACGAATTGGAGAAATTTGCCTCAACTTTGTCCGACTCCGTGCCGTCGCCGAAGTCCACGTCGATTACCACCATCGCTTCCTCACGTGCGATCACTCCCCTCATGCAACATTTGTGTGCCAGTTACCCTGGCCTTGCTATGCCGGAATCGGGGATTGAGATACAAGGGGCAGATGGGACCGAGGTAGAGTTTGGGGTCTCTGATGATGCCATCGACGACACACGGCAAGAACAAGGGAGTGGGACAATTATGGGCGGCGACGGCAGTGGTAATACTATCCCTATCCCTACCCCTATCCCTACGTTTGAACCACAGTTAGGCTCAGCAGAATTCATGGGGGGAAAAGCACACCCCTCACTGCCCTCAGGTGTTCCGGGGCAGACTCTGATGAGCAATCATACCGCGTCAAGTATGAACATAGAATCTATCGCTGCAGTCTCTCCTCCCAACTTACCAGTTGCAGACGAAGGACTAGTAGGTGAAGTGCATTCTTCTGCGGCTCAGCCGGGTCGACAAGCCGACACAGTGGCAGCAGCCAAGGAAAGTCAAAGCATTGTGCCTGGTCAAACTATTGCGGAAGCTAGCCGTGATGTGCCCGTTCCTAGTCAACCTGTTGAGTCCGGTTCATCGGAAAGTAAGGTGCCGATTCCGCCGAAGGCAAATCCCCTGCCGTCATCGGGGAGGGGAGCACAGGCTGCTCATCCTGCACCAGGTGCAGTCGATCCCGTGGGGTTATCGGGGCAGTCTGAGCCTACAGGACCATCGTCATTGAGTGGAGGACAGGGCCGACATCCGGGAGATTTACCTGCAATCCTCCAAGGGGTTAACGATGCATCCCAACCATCATGGCGGACGATCGACCAGCTTGGCAGTAGCGATAACAAAGAATCTGATAGCGAGGCAGTGTTGCTGGCCATCGCTCAGGAGAGGGAGGTAGGACGGCCTACTGTAGCAATGGGAGAAGCAGGAGCAAGTCCAGCACCAGAAGCGCCACCTGCGGGTGCTGTTGCTGGTACTACTCATCCGGAAGATCTTCTCCCACTGGCAGCTGAAAGTCCGTTGGGTGATGCTGAGGTGGCGACTGAGGATGACATCGGCGATGGGAGTGGGTATGGGGGGGAGGAGGACGGTCGCGAGCAAGCTTTGCTTGGCGACGATGCAAGGGGGGAGCAAAGAAGTGAGTTCGTGTTTACGCCTTCGCACGGCGCATTAGACGCTGAGAGTGAGTGTACAATCGACGTCACATTTTGTCCCTGGAGACGCAAGAGGTGGCAGAGATCGATTGTTTGCTTGGCGGAAGCGATGCAGGGTCCCGAGATCCCGTCTTACGTGGCAGTAAGGGCCTGTGCCCTGAGGCCACGTGTGTGCCTGGAATCGAATGTGATCAATCTGGGTACAATCTATGTTGGTATGGCGGAGCACCACACAATCATCTTAAGGAATTTAGCTCTTCTTCCTGCCTTCTATAGATGGACAGAGGAGAGGATAGCCATGGAGGGGGAGGGGTGGGTGAACCTTACCTTCCGCCCTGCGAAGGGCAAGTTGCCGCCCGGCGAGACCGCCGCTGTCGGAGTGCGCTTTGCGGCGGGACCCGACGATGTCGGCGCAGTCGAGCTGCTCGCGGTGTGCGATGTGCAAGATATGCTGCAGCCATTGGGTCTTAAGATACGGGCGCAAGTCAACGGGCTGAAGGTAAGCTATGCGGTTCACTCGGTCGAGCACTCTGACATGGACACTTCTTACACTTTGTCTGGCGGCGGAACGCAAGCCCTCTCCAGTGGGAGGAGTCGGGTGGGAGCAGCAGGACAGAACGAGTCCGAGGTGCGGTGGGCAGCAGTGCCAGCAGGGATACCGGCGGACTCCGACGCTACTGTCGGGTCGCCACAGCCAGCGACAGGCAGCAGGAAGATCGACGGCGTAGAGGAGATGGAGAGAGAGAGACTTGTACAGATCCCCCTGGAATGGAGCATGAATGGCTGGCTCGTCCGACTGCCCGCCGCTGACTTTCCGGCCTCCTCTAAAGCGGATCACGAAGGAATAGCCGGGCTGATCGCCATGCTCGAGCAAGAAGCAGAGATTCAGAAAGATGCCGCGAAGTCTTTGATGAAGGCCTACCAAGGCGTTGACGAAGGCCGCGGTGGAGACGGCCAGCTTGACAATGTGCAAGATGTGCAGAGCACTGCCCTTCCTCTTCCTCCCAAACAGGGCCAAACTTTGCCACCAAATGCCCCGCAGAGTCAACCTTTGACTTATCCCCATGACCAGTCGCTCTCCCCTGTACCTGGTTCAGGGGGAATACTGAAGGATCTGCAGGAGGGCCTGACGTCAGAGTCAGGTCCTCAGGGAGAGACTGGCGGGAAGTTAGAGAAATCGCTGCCGTCTCTGACAATCTCTGGAGCTGACCCTCAGCAAAGGGCCGAAGAAGTGCCTCCCGGTCAATCCGAGTCAATAGGATCGGAAGATCGGGCCCAGGGGGGGGAGGGGGGAATGGTGAAGAGGGAGCAGGACAAGGCGGTGGGATTTGCTGCGACCGCAGGAGGTGCCGAAGTTCACACCAGCATTCATGACCAGATGTCCGGCGTGACGACAGCACTACCCGCCGCCGAAGACCCAGACTCAGCGGTCCTGCTAGACTTCGGCTCTTTCTGTAGGATGGGTAAAAAGCAGTCTCTCAGGTTGACCATCAGGAATCAATCTGGTACCAGGTCCCATGTTTCGGTCCATCTGGACCGCTACGAGGGTCCACCTCCAGAGGAGGAGCGTTCTCGCCCGGATTCGCAAGATACAGGACGTGGCTGGTGGAGCCAAGGAACGGGTTTCCGTCTCGGATTCACTACTCCTGGGGGTGCCACTTCAGGAGCCTTCTTGGTACCCACGATTGGGAACCCACCTAAACCGAAATCGATGGCTGCTGAGGGTACAGGTTACAAGTCGGACGATTGGGCATTCGACAAAACCGACTCTCAGGGGTCCCGGCGGAGGGTTCAGCAGCCTGCTGCTGACATGTCAGATAGGTCTCCAGCTTTTTTTCACACTCTGTCAGGCACCAGTTACCCTCCTCGCCGTCGTTCGGGTGAGCGGCAGCAGCAGCAGGAGGGTTTATCGGGAGGAAAGAGAGGAGGGGATCCCGCAGTTCAGTTCGACAGCAACCCCATCAGCGGCGACAGCGGTGATGATGCTGGCAGAGCACTTGTAGATCGCCCCGTGTCGCTCAATGCTTCTCCAAGGAACGGCCTCGATGACACAAATCATGGTTATCATGATTATGCCGACGGCCATGGCGGCCGTGGTGGTCATGACGGCCGTGGTGGTCCCCCCCTCAGTGCTTGGCACTGGCCGACGTTGAAAAATGACTCATCTGGGTCGCGCGATGGCGACCACCACTCTCATCTTCATCTCCCTGAAACACAGACGTTGAAGCAATTCTCCACCATAGCCAGGCACAGCAGGAAATCAAGGCCACAATCGAAATGGTCGTCTTTCCAGGCCGATCGTCGGTTTAACAAGTCATCGAAGGGAGGGCGCAGCGCCACGAGCTCGCGGGGAAGGTTCAAAAGGTTGCTGGGAAAGGACCACGAGTTCACGCAAACCTTCACCTCGAAAATGGGCGAGATTATGCTCTCACGACGTAGGGAGGCAGCTCATATCGGAGACATCCTGTCGAGCAACAAGGGTCTAGCTATTTTAATAAACCCCTCAAGGGAAGGGGTGCTAGAACCATGGGGTGAATGGCATTGTCAGCTGGATTGCTATACCAACGTCCCGGGACAGTATTCTGACAACCTCCGCTGCAAGGTGACTGCACTGACCTGATGATCTCACCCCCAAGCCACTGTGTTGGCAAACAAGGGAAAGGGGGGTGTTTTTTTTTTTTGTTCCCCTTCCTTATCTGTCAAGTTCTGTTCTGGCCAACCGTCTTCACCCGAATAGAACGCCCGGTCATTATATCTGTATTTGGTGCAATTTTCAGTCCAGATATAATGACCGGGCGTTATATTCGGGTGAACACGTAGGCTACCAGACTGGTCCGGGACCACTTGCCGGGCCGGGCCAAAAACAAATAAAAAATTAAAAAAAAGAAAAAAATGAAATTTCACTTTTTATTTTTATTTAAAACTCGTCAACTCTTTTTTTTTTAATAAAAGCTGGGAACCGGGCCCGGCGTCCCTCACAAAATTAGGTGGGGCCCTCGACGGGCAAAGCATCACCGGCGAAGCACATAGAGGGTACCACAGTACTTCCACTAGATTTCACCCTGCAGCCAACTCCACAGCCCCTACCACTGAAAAATCAACGAAATTTATCAGCAAAATCTGAAGTTCATCACCAAAAGCTCTAATCACAATAGTCATGTCGACCCTAATTTAGTGACCTAAATTCCACCGACCATTAAGAAATCATGTGCAAAAAGGAATTACCAAA